GTTGGGGATGACGTATCACCAGGAGGGCACCTACTGCTGCGGCCAGCCTGCCCGCCCAGGCGCCAAGCGTCTCTCCCACGGCAAGGACGAGGTTCGGCACCAGCCCACGCTTCCTCCTTCTGCCACACCACGCCGAGCTCGGTCACCACGCTGCCCACCAAGCAACCCGCACCGCTGCGGGGATCTCGCTGCTGGGCACGCAAACCAGAGGGGGAGCAAGCGTTTAATGGGAAAGCGATCAGAACGCCCAAATCCCCGTGAGGTGGTTTGGGGTTTGCGGGTGAAGGTTTGTGGCTCAGTGCAAAAGGGGCTCTAAAGGAATGCTAACGAGCGCAAGCAGGCAGGCTGGAAGAGTTACCTACTGCACAGCCGAGCACGACAAACCACATCATCATAGTCTGTGACTCACTGCAGAAATATGGATAAAAGAGAAAGTTGCTTTTGAAATAAGAGGAGGAAATGTAAGAAATAATTGCATAAGGAGGTCTTTGGCTGTTTAAATTAAACGCTTTTTTGCCTGAGGGTCTGAATGAATACACCGGGATCTTTTCGTTCCTGCAGCAATCGCATATTTCCTGCCATTACTGATAATGACTTTAAACCAGCACACTTAAGCAGGGCTGTTATTTTATTTGCAGCGTTTCCCAGGCAGGAGCGGCGACCGCGCACGTGGGCAGCGTAACAAGGGACAGCTCGTCAGCAGAAGCACGTGTCAGCCTAGCGAGGAGCTAACGAGGGGCGGCAGTGGGCCCTCGGCGTGCCACGGCCCGGCAGCCTCCAACACCAATTTCTGGAGACGTTACGTCTCACCCCGACGCAGCCCACGAGCTGGTCACCTTCGTCACCACCGACAGACCGAGTCTGAGCTAACACCAAGTTTCTCTGACTTCTGCTAGTGCAAACCTAGCTCTGAATTTGGTAGCACACGGACCTGACCCAAAGCTCAACGTTAAGTCAGCTTAAGCCTTCTGTCAGCTTCCAGAGGCAAGTCTGATTTCTAAACAGGACTGGGTGGTTAAAAGACGCTTTGCCTGAAGCAGCATGAGTGTTTCTCGCTCCTTCCTCATCATCTTTTGTGTTAGCTAAAACTGTTTGCCACATCCAGCCCCAAATCAATGAGTGTTGTAGTTAAACCATATAAATATTTCTTTGTGAATAAACTCTGCCCCACTTTTTTCCCCATCTCTAGTTCCACACCTCCCTCACCCGGGCAGAAGAGGAGGGTGGTAGGAGAGGCCAGCACAGCGCCTGCTGTGTGACAGCACCGGCCGGTGCTCCCATGAAGAGCCACCGGGGACCTCAGAGGGACAGGCAAAGCATGTATGATTACAGGACTGGAAAATAAGGGAACGGGAGACGAGAGACCAGAGGCTCTTTGGAAGAGGAAGGGGGGCCTCCACAAGGCACAATCAAACCCAACAATGGTGTCGGGGCAGAGCAATCGAGGAGCATTCCTCAGCTTCCCTCTGCTAACAGGACTCATGACCATACGGCCGAATTCCAAATGTACCAGCAGGCACTTGGATCCCGCAGCCCCGCGTAGCTGAGCCCAGCTAGCAGCCTCGCAAAGGCGGGCGTCCTCGTTTCGGGCCGGCATTCCACCGCATC